GCGATCATTGTATTACTTTGTTGTTGTTTATTTTTCTCTCCTAATTTCATGGTTCTTAAAAAAATGATCTTTATATTGTTGGTTGGTAGGTCGAAGGTCACTTAATATTGAATTGACCATATATTATTAGATTTTTCTGAAGAAGTTGGAAAATATTATTGGTTTTATCATTACTTATTACAGAAAAAAATTATGTAAATTACATAGCCTGAATTAAAATTTCGATATTGTTGTATTCGTTAAGTTGAGTTATTTTAAAAGATCCCATGTTTTGATCTATCAAAGGTAATACAACATGTGATAACCAATCAATGCAATTGTTTATTGTCATTAGCGCGATTTGTTTAAATCAGAATTTGTTCTCATAATGTATTTTTACTTGAGTTAATAGGCGAAGAAAATACCAGTGGGATCACGGATTTCCTCAATCATTGTAGGACTAGTAATCTGGAAATAAAAAGATATCGAACATTAATTTAGATAATTTGTATAACAACATTTCCAGTGGTATGAAACTCAAAAACGACCATGTATGATATCTATCAAACTCAGCATCATGTGAAAATCATTGAATGTGTTATTTTACTCTCTGTAAAAAAAACATGCTATAATTGTCAGTTAGACTAGTTGAAATTTTCAGGAATCGATGTAGTTAACAAACCAATAATATCTCACATTCTACGAATTCGAGAACAGTGACGATGATAAATAGGCCTAACACTATCTATAGAATTGGTTACAAATTTTACGAGAAATCCTTCATCAAATTGTGTGTGTAGCCTGTTGAGGATATATGTGGTGTATGCTACTTATGTCTGTCGACATAAGTAGTATGTCACACCACCCAAAGTGGAAGGTTGAGAAGATGTAATTGGATAGAACTGGGTAGAATGGGAATGTAAACAAAGATCCGTTGTATTAAAAACAGGAATGAAGGGACGATAAAGTTCATGAGATGTGCAAATTAAGCATTTAATGTATGGATTTCGTATTTTATTGAAGCGCTCTGTAATTTCAATTTAAACAAGAAATCGATCTTTTCCACTTGAGTGTTGGTTCACTTTACATGTATTTCACTAAAAGAATGGCGAAATTTTCAGTAAAATAAATCAAAGTTTACGAATATCGAAATCAATAATTTTTCTGATGAGATATGAAAATTGTTCCGATTTGACTTCTGTTGTGCAAAACAATAACTACTGTTAGAGCTACTGGTGTAATTCAACGCTTAGACCATTTCACTCTTTGCTTGAATAAACATAATTAGGAAATTAGTATAAGATTAATCTGTGGTCACCTATAATTTCACGAAGAATCAAATCTACAATAATTTTGTACTAACAACAAAATATTTCACTAACAAATTTTGAAATTGGTATCTTTCGTATAAAATCATATAACCATGGTAATTGTCACAACTATTTTATCTACAAATCATTATTGTTATTATTACTTTGGGCGTTTTTCTCTGGTTATCTACATGTAAATATATATCTATATGTCATATAATAACATTATAAGGGCATACAACTGTGTTTTCTTTTCACTTGAGTATTATTAAATATAATTCTCATTACCATACTTAATCATAAAAAATTCGATAAATTTTAATCGTATAATCTAACTACAACTACTTTTTAACTCAACCGTGTTTTTAACATTGTGACCTGATTTTGACCCTTATTATTTTTTCTACGTTTTCTTCCTTCTATATCTTGTCATAAATATAGATAGTTGCAGTTTTTTATGCTAATTATTGTTAAATCAGTTATAAAATGCATAAGGAATCAATATTGTACACTCACTAGTGTAGGTATACCTAGTACATAGTGTTATTTAAAACGTCAATCATACCTAGTACATATATCGGATTTGAGTGATTTTAGCCCTGTGAATTCGATCAGTTATGAGCATTTTTGTTTTGAACTACAGATTCTGTTCTATGTAAAATGAGTTAATTTTTTTGATCGTAAATTTGAACTTTGCTACAAATAAATTAGTTAATTAATCGTTTTTAACCTTTTTAAAATGATAAATGTTAATAGATTATTTTGAGTATTCGATTTATGTATAATGATGCTAACCAGTTGCACAAATTGTATTAGGTGTTGTATGGTATCCTAACCAGTGAATTATTAATTGAAAACCGAACGCTTTAACCACCGGTTAAGTTAGTAGGTCTAATAAAGAATATCTTTTATATTTCTGGCTATTTTATTGAGAAAAAGGTGTTTAAGTCGTTGAACAATTTTTAGGCTTAGTCAATAGTTCAGTAGAATAGTTAATACTGTTTAAAGTTATGAAGACTGCGAGATGCATTCTCTTTCCCTGTTATCTTAAATAATGAATTATACACTTGAAATAGTTTCTCATCATATCTTTTTTCTTACTTGGTTCATGCTTCAATTTTGGCAGATAACATCAATTTCAGCTTTCAATAGTTATTCCCAAGCCATGTTTATTGTAGATTTAATGTTCTAAAATGATGGAGAATATATGTAGCTTGACCGAATACTCTCGGCGTTGTGTTTTTTAAACTCGATCGATTACTTGAGGAACTTTCAATTCCGTTTTATACAAAATCATCAGCTCATACGTCGTGTAGGCATTCTCTTTTATAGTTAGTTTTCAAAACTTATGTCATTCTATCCTGATCACTTTGTTTGTACTGGGTAGTCTTTGTAGGTTTCATTGTCTTTATTAGTTTTTGAATGTTCTATTGTTGACTTTATTGCTCTGTTAACCTCTGACTATGTACTTGATTGACTGTTTTTGTATGACCTGGTAAATAAGATCTATGTTAATACATCCTTTGATTACTAATTGATTTAGATGCTGTGCTCCCAGGGACGTTTTCATCATTATAATTCCTTTTTTCCAGAAACTAGATGTTTTTCCATTTGGATTGCCTATGTTCATTAATATCACTGATAATATATCGTGCTGTTTCCCGACTTCTAGTTTATGTTTATATGAAGGGGGACATCCAGTTTGCCCACCTGTTATGTTTCTCGCATTTGGTGTTATCTTTTTCTCATAATGTTTATGTAATGTACGTTTACTAGTACTTGTGTTGAGATGATTAATCTTACTAAGTGAGGCGTCGGCAACTGAAACGCTTATTAATTACCTTCCTAGTCGCTTCTTTTAACATCAAACTACTTTTGCACGTCAAATGGAATAATAAAGAAATGGTGTGAAAAGTGAGTGAGTTTCACTTCAAAGTGAGTTTGTGTACAGGAAATCTAGAGTATTTTCAGATTTGTATGTGACTTTGGACCTTGAGAACTTCTTGGGAACATACTGAATATAGTAACAATATAGATAATTGTCCACTCAAAGACGTGATGCGTCATCTTTCAGTTCTCAAATGTTCTTGAGAAGTTTTATTCAATACCGATTGGATGAAACATTTTCTGGCTTCTTCTGGGCTTCTAGTGACTTTGATGAATAATATTTTCGAATTACTCAGCACTAAGATAGAAGACAGAGCGTTATACTAGGGTGCTGTACTAGTTATGTGGCCATTCAGCCGTAAATTTCACATCATATACATAGGCTAAACTGTGTCTCAAATATGTGTGCATTCAACTTTAGTTTGTTGGTTTCAACCTGATCACTAGGATAATGTAAAGTCAGTAACACTTCATATATTTACGCAATACTTCTGAAGTACTGAAGTCTAATTATGTGTCAACTTTGTAGTGTTTTTCAACTTAAATCATCGCATAGCTAACTGCTTAATAGTTATAACAATACATTATTTGTACCGAGCATTATTGAATAGAATTTATTATTTTCTTATATTCTTTCAAATGTCGTTCACATTTATTCAGCTTTCTTTTAATTGAGATCATGAACCGATGAATGTTAGATCATCATTGAAACCTCGGGAAAACTGGACGACCGCTTCATCCTAATATGGGATTCCTCAAGTGGGACTCGAACCCAAGTTTTACGGTCTCACGCGAATGGTGAACCTCTAGACCACTGGGTCGTTATCCAACGGCATTAATGTTTAACTTCAATTAATCCAGGATATTGAGCGACCATCTTCCACAATTTGAGGTGGATAACCGTCTCACCCCCGATACGAATTGGACTCCACTGGTCACGGCTTCTCATTAGAACTCTGAGAATACCTTCTTGAAGTTAGTTACCAGTGACGACATGATAATTATCACCACAGGGTTGTGGAAATCTTTATCCTCTTTTTAATGTCCATTTACAATGCTTTTGTGAAATCCAAGTCTTTATTTCTGTTAATCCCTTGTATTTTATAAATAGTTTTCTTGAATATAAAACAATTTCTATACAAACTGTTGTGACAAGCCGTGTCCGAAATCTGACACTGATACACGGTATGCTACGCGCTGACCCCCAACTGATCACTTGAGCTAGGATACAAGAGTGAGTGTGAAAGTATATTGGGCTACCGATTAAAATGCATATATATATACAACTCTAATCCTTAGGAAATTGATCCATTTCTGAGCCAATGAAATAAGCTTGATCTTTAGGTCACTTCTGATTACCATCAATTGACCTTCTCATTAAGCTACTTCTGATGGGTTCACCATATCACAAACATCATAAATGTTTTATCTTTTTTGTATTTTAATAATTTACTCAATCAAATACATGAAAATGTTATATTGACAGGTTGTTTTGAATTTGGATAGTGTTTTTTTTTGTGTGCATGTCATTTAACATTTACCTGAAAACGAATATTTAACATGTTATATAGTTTATCTGTAGTTTTCACTATTGTTCTAATTTATGGAACACTAATACCCTTGTGCATCTAAACTTAATGTTTATAATAACAGTTTTAACACTTTGATAGCTTCTAGTATTATGCTATATATATATATATATATATATATATATATATATATTGTTTATTTTGAGATCTATATTTTGATTTTTCTCTATTCTTTCCTATTATGCAATTTTATCTAATCAATATGTTGGTGCTATCTGTTCACTACTATTCAAAGGTAATTGGTAAATGTTCACCTTATGTTACCAACAGAAAAAGACAACAAACATTGAATAATCTAGATCTTCGTTTACCAATAATTGAGGTAACACCAGTCAAAATTACAAAAACAGTAAATATTTTATCATCAGTTATAAATACAAATAATCGGTGTAATGACCACTTATCCTCAATTAATATTGATTCAACTCATAATTGTGTATCGTCTCTGAGTTCATTCGATCTAGTAAACAGTCCTGTTACTAATTCTTTAAGTATTTTACAAGTTGAATCACCTAAATTAAAATCATTAAAACTAATGAATGAAAAATCAGACTTGAAAAATTTACAAAATTCTATAAATACTAAGATTAATACTCCACCTAAACTTAGTGTACCACTTATGGATTGTTTAATTTACAATGAGAATTATGAAGATCCAATATCGACTGATCCTTCTACAATATCATCTGATGATTGTTTAATTGATAGTCAGGTAAAAAAAAAGTTTGTTTTGATCTGTTTACCAATATACCTTGAATGATTCGATGTGCTGCTATTTGTTGCATTTTACAGTGTTCTTCGTATATGTATTTGCTTCTATATCGCATCGTTGAAAATTGGCTTCATTTCTTGTTTCATATGTTCTGTTTTGTTTGATAGTTTGTTATAAATGTATAAACCTGTATGTATATCTGGCTTCGTGTTTTTTTAGCGCTTACTCAAAACCATGTCAATGTACTTCCATGGTCTTAAAATGTGACTGTTTGTTTAGTGTTACAAGTCATTGATGAGATATATAGAATATCCGTGATAATGAGTTTCTTGATGTGAATATTTTTTCAATGTTTTTCATTGTTTTTCTCTGTATACCTTTCTCGGTATCAAGTATCTAAAAACGGTTAGTTACTTACTGCATGTTTACATATGGGTATTCATATCTTTTCATAACTACTGTTAATTATGCATTGTGCTCTGTGGTAATCTCTACAGTTTACATTATTGATAAATGTAATGAACTTTTGATTGTACCTTTCTTTTTTTAGGTGAATAAAAAGTTGGCCCAATGTACATGTTGTAATAAATTGCATATGCAACGTTTAGAAGAAGGTCGATATAGGCTAGGTTCACGTATTTATTACTTACGCAGATTTCGTAATCACGTCATGGTTCGAGTCGGTGGGGGTTGGCTAACATTAGACGAATTCTTGCATCGTCATGATCCGTGTAGACGAGGAATTCACTCATTTGATATGGAACCAGCAGCTACATCTAATGATATCCCTCCTATCAAGTCATGTTTTAATGTCCACAAACCAATTCGTCGACATTCCGAACTGGAATCTCCACCTATTTCACAGGTTAATTCCATGAGTAATTTCAACAGACAATGGTCTTATGGTAGTAATAGTAGTATGGAAAGCCCAAGAAGTGATTCCAGTATGATTGACACTGGAATAGTTAGCGAGGTTTCCAGCGTTGGAAGCATTTCTCAAGCATCTTCTTCATTAAACTCCATTAAACAAAAACAAGAAAAACCAAAATCAACTCCTCGTCTAACCATACCAAAGGCTCCAAATCTTAGGACGGCTTCACGGTCTCGTGATTCGTCTAAGAAAAATTCAGACTCTGGGAAGAACATTTCAGATATTGCTGCTGCTGCTTCACATTCTCGTGCTTCTTCGGCAAAGCGGACAAATGTTCCAGTAAGTAATAAAAGAGATTTTAGAACACCATCACAGCCCCGTAACCTTTCATCAAAGCGTGAAGACTCTGTATCAAGAGCTTCAAATATCCGAAAAGTTTCGAACTCGCGTGAGTCCTCCACTAAACGTGAAGAATCTACACTGACAAATTGTCGCGCAGATTCTACGACTCGTCGGACTCTTTGGAGAAATTAATTTTTACTTCATTTTTTCCTTTTTTATAAAAACTCATTTGGTTGACTTTATCTAATTATTTATTTTACCACCAGTTTTAAAATTTCATTTTAACTGCTTTTGTTTTGGTTTTGATTCCTTTACAAATAGTCTGTCGTACTTTGTTCAAAATACAACTCTACAAACTAGGCGCGCTTGTTGTTGTTTTTACCATTGTTATTATTTTATTATGTTTTCTGGAATCTTTGTACATATGGGATTTTTTAAAGTATTAACTCACATTACATAATCTTGTAATATTTTTAAAAGTAATAAAGTATAATGTTTATTCGTATCAAAGTAAGATGAAAAAGAAAAAAGTCTAATCTTTTTTGTTGTGTCATCTAGTAATTCGATTTTCTTTGAACCATTGTTTTATTCAATGATCAGGAACTTGATTGTAGTTATTGTGCTCATGTTTTGCAGTTATTAATTATGAGATAATGGAGGTAATATTTGTAGACCAAGATGAAAATGTTGAAGATGTAGTGTCACCTGAGCTTAGAGAACACAACACTAACACAGATTATTATTAAATCATTATTGAACTCAGTTAGTTCTCTAAATATATCCTCCAGAACTTTTTCTGGTATTATTGTTCTATTTTCTTGAACAGAAACTCATAAAATGCATAAAGCTTGAATATGACTCAAGACTGCTCAAATACTTTGTACCTGAAAAGTGTAAAGACATTTTGTACAGGTCGATACTTTTATCAAACTTATTCATCTTCAATTTATTGATAAGTGATGAAATGAGTATGGTGTGTAAGAATGTGTAGTTTTATTCGTGCATACTAAAGCTGCACAATTACAACAATAGCATCAAAACTATCTTTTGCATTTTAGGATTTCAGCTTGATAGAATATGGTCGCCTATGGCCCAGTAGATTATATAAATTGACATTTCATTATCTGAGATTATTGTGCAAGATCATCTAAGTTACTCATAATTAGTTTAAATTAGTGAATATAATGTGTACACAGATTGCGAATATCGAGCCTCTTAATTGATGATTCTTAAATATCTGATTTGTCAAGGAATTTAACATTTCAAACCAATTTATATTATAGCGAGCAAGAAATCATTTTAATCGATACTGACGTTTTATTTGACATCGTATTATGTATTCACAACTTGATAAACGTAATAGTATTATAATGGGTCAGATATAATGTCATCTACCATCATGATTAGATTGATTTTCCCTGCCTGTATTAATCTTTGTTCCTTAATTTGAACTTCATATATTTTATTCTTGTAGTTAAACGTTTTCGCAGTATGTGTCCATGTTGAAAATATCTCATACGTATTTTACTCTGTGAAAATGAAAAGATTAGGGTTTGAACAAAATAACAAGTTCTCCAGAAATATTCTCACAATATCGAGACGACATGTAAATTGTTTGAGTACGATTTTTGTTGCAAATCTCATCACCTTCGAATTTTAAGTATAAAATTCTGGTACAGTATAGTTGCATATATGACGGCTTTATATCAAATACAGTTAGTGATAGGCAGGGAAGACATGTTAGGAGAGTGCTCAACAGGATAAATTGATTAGGACTTCAAATGTGTGAGTCACATGATAAATTAAGATACAACTAAAAATGGCAGAACAGAAGAAATGTTGGGTTAGTACAGTCCAATCGTAGTAATGATGATTATTTAATAAGGATAACAAAACGGATAAATTTTTAATGGTGAAATGAATTGATCCACTAGTCGATATTACGAACTGATTTCATCTGGACGACTATTGAAAACAGCAGCAGTGGTTAGCTGTTTCGTCTTCAGTAAAAACCTAACATTGTGATATGGGAGTTATGTATTTCATAATAATTTGTTTGCGTTGTAATTTTGGAATGAAATTTATGTTCAGTAGTATATCTGATATTTTCTCAGAGATTGATTGCATGTAACAAAGAATATGAAATCGGATTTACAACAGGCGAATTCGACAGATTTGTTTATTTATTTGAACACATAAATATTGGTACAAGAGGGCACCAGATATATATGCGCCACACAAAAAATTATCATTGTGTGAGGGCTATGATACTGCTGTTTCCAGTGTTTCCAGGTTTTCCATGGTGGTCTAGCGTCAATTGACTCATGCTTTAAAACTATAATAAAATTAACACAAATTTAATGTCGACAAATCCAACAATCATTTAAGCCTAATAATATATAACCTAATTCATCTCAGCCAATCAATTGTGTTGATCAAACTGAAGATCAATATAGCGGTTCATTCATTAAAACGCGCCAAAACCATTTTGTTGTCCGAATGTTTTTGAACAGACTGAACTAAAAACACGGTAAACTGTTATCCCGATTCTATAGTCACACTGTAAGGTATCATGTGATATAAGGACATCAAAATTTATTTCATTATAATACATATGATAAATAAAGTAGTCGATTTCAATTTGCAAATGAATAATTCCTAGGACTGTCTAATACGTACCTCAGTAGTCACGAATGAACCAGCACTCAAGTCAGAGAGAATACGGTGAACGGACTTCAGAGTATTACTTTGCATTTGGAATTAGGCACGTAACAAAATTCGAAACAATTAGCAATGAGCACAAATATAATGATAAAATATTATCCTCATACTTCAGCGTTTTCTAAATTTTGACGGTAAACTACTTCTTGTTTACAGTAACCAGAGGCTAGTGATCATGTAACCCAACTAGTTTAGAAAAAGTTTTATAATACGTGTGCTCATTATTGAGTGGAAAATAATACCGACCAAGAAAATCACTATTTACAAATTCGGTCAACTGATATTTTATTTACCACAGTCATAAAGTACTATTGCAGTAAACAAGAACACGAGTGGGGATAATCTAATGTATTTAACCACAAAATTACAGAATATCTCAGTAAAGTATGAGAATTATATGGTAAATATGGACAGTGGAATCCAGGACGCGCGTGCCATGCCAATAGGAGACTGATCAGTTGCAGTCCATAAATCAATGGGGAGATTCACACAAACAATACCAAGTGAATTTATATAGTAAATAGTTAACTTGCAAACTATGAATCAATTGTCTCAATCTTCACTGTTCCTTCTGAAAATATCAGTCTTTCGTCTCCGATTATTATTGTTCATACATTTTCATACTAACTGCGTTTCGTTCCCGTTCTTACATTATCAATCTACTACTGAAATACATTCAGTACCCGACCATTGTTACATACTACTTATGTGGATATAAGTAACCCACACCACACTGTCATTATTACTAGTAGAAAAAAGCTTTACAATTGGTTTTTATTTAACCTTTCCCAGTTTGCTTTTTAAAGTTCTTTTTATTTAGCTTAAATTTCACCTCCTAAATAAAATTTTGACTGTTTTAATTTCGAGTGAATAGAGATTTATTTCTAAATAGTTTCAGTAAAAAGGTTATCCATACAGGACGCATATATGCTAATAAGAGACTGGTCAATTGCAATCCTAAACACCAGTGGGAATATTCAAACAAACAATACAAAATGAATCAAATAATAGCATTGTCAAGTGTCTAATCATTTTGGAAAGAAGTATATATTATTAAGGCAGACATATTTTCAGGTTTTTATATCCATTGTTATAATACGATGGTTACACGGGGTTTTCATCATTATTTTATATTTATTCAATTTGGTTCAGTTAGTTAAAGCACAACAATTTGATTATATGCAAAGATGAATGATTGTATATTTGAATAATAATTTTCTGCAATTTAGGAGAATATCAACAATCATTGGTGACATAAGCAACACTTGAAATCTATTTACTTTGACTTTCAAAATGGTCAGAAATTATTATCATGTATGGAGATGTAATGAATAATAAGAACTACAAGATATATTTAATCATGCCAATTTATTAACCCTAATGTTGTATCATACTTGTTTGTAATTCACACGTTATTTAAATAAAAATTCTACAGAAGGTCTTTTAAGATGAAAAAATTTGATAATTAAATAAGTAAAATGAGAAAAGATGCACTATAAGGTATGGAACTTCTATGTTAATAAAACTGATCACTAATAACCATCATTTATGTCCAGTTTATTTACGGTTTTGTGGTTTACAGAAGAAGTTATTTTAATGAGGTGATTTTCTAAAATAATGTTTAGGGTTGTCCTCCAGAGATATTTTGTGAAACATTTGTAACTACTTATCAGTAGTGTATAAATTTTAGACAAATTATTTATGTCGAGAGGCCGCGTAGGATAATAGAAATAGAGTAGATTGTTAAAAGGTATAAAATAAATAAATATAATTACTTAGTAAACGTTTTTTTCAAACAAATCGAAGTTAAGAGTTTTATTGAAACAGAGTATATGTTAGGTAATATAAGCTTAGGGAGTTCTCGTGACTGTTGAAAGTCTAAACCTAAAATTCATTGATTCTCGAGATTTTGGTTCCTTAAGAATTTTGTGAAAATAGTTCCATATGATTTTGGTTAATTATGTAGCGTTCATATTTTATTTATTATCCTTCTTTAAACAAAGCTAATATCTTACTGATAATTATTTTCATTAGAATTAAATTTAAATAAATTTGTTTTCTCTTATATCCCGTGGAGGTTTATGAATGGTAACTTCTGAGAACTATTTGTGGACCAATATGATATGCATATTTCCTATTGTATAATTCTTAGGTAACTAAACTATTCATATTCGTGTCCCCCTTATTATAAGCTTTATTTTGACCTATGAACTATCATTATACGATTTACCATTCTTGAGTTATACCCAGTCTATTGATTACTCTACCCCTACTCACAGCCACATTTGGACTAATCGTGTGCAAAGGTTATTTTCTATTTTATGGTTCGATGTGATCTGTTTGTTTGGTATATAAACCCAGTAAGTTTGAGAATAATGATTCTTATTGCAGAGGCTGTTATTGGTGTTCTTGACTTAACTGGCTGGTCTAAGCAGAAAGCAGGACTGATAAGCACACGATTTTGTGCATCATTGTATCTGATCGATAATTCACTCCTCCTCATTGGAGGGAATCAGCACCTTCATATATCAAACAGGGCACGCACGAAGTCACATGATATAACAGTTTTTAAATGTTTATGACATACCTTTAATTCTGTAACGACGAGCAGAATCAAAAAAATGTATCTCCACAGAACATCAAATTGTCTTTATTTAAAGAACTGACCATATTCTATTGCACATTTTCATATATTAGAAAAAACTGGCCTCTAATAGGAAATTATATTCGGAGCGTTTTATTAAGGTGTTATGAACAATTTAAGCCAAAAAATATATCACACTATTCATGTTTATCTAACTCTAATAGGTGTTCTATTGTAATTAATACTTTCATACATATAGATCCTTCTATTATTATGAAATGAATAAAATCGGAGATCAGTGCAGTATAATATTGATTCATTTTATTCCGCTAGGTTCTCATCAGCTGTTTAGAATCTACATAATATCGTAAAATCAAAATTACCGTAGAAATTGACGTACTTATGAATAGAAAGGTGGTTAGGTATGAATATTTATATCGTAAAATGTTGAGGATTATAACAAAGTTAACAAGATGGTAAAAAATGTGTTTCAGAATAATAAGGTGCGAGACGAAATGTTTCAGAACATCGACATAGTAATTAAAATTCATCGACTTAACAAACTTTAGATAGTTGCATAATGAAAAACCTGAATATAAAATCATGGCAATAAAGAATAATATGAATTGAAATTACGGATATAAGAGAACGTCAAAATATTGTAATCAGACTTAAGAAAGAGTTCAAATAAAATGGATATATTATTGCCAGGTTAAATAACGATTTATTGATGTTTCTTTTTGAACACATAAATGTGGTTCCAGACGTTTAATCAGAAAATTTCGAAATATTTAAATTCTGTTGTTTGTTAATCACCTTGAAAAACTCTAATATTTCAATCTGATGTCTTTTATCAAGAGGATGTCTCGTGATAGCACCGCGGAATGTCAATAATTCTCTTGACATTAAACTATTGTGGATATATTTTTTGAATCGGATCTAGGCGATTTCTTATGTTCTACCAATGCAACCGCTTTGGCCGATTCATGTGAATTTGTATACTCAGTTACTGGTAACATGTTAGGAATACCTATCGACCTTTGATTATATTAAATATCATTTTATTTTACTCAAGAAAATCTAGTTTAGCTAAGGGTTATGTTCTTGTTAATGTAGTTTTCACGCTTATGTTGATTAAATCTGTAACATCATCAACTTTCAATTTAATTTGAATACAAATATGTGTTTTTGCTTGCTGTTGATTTTTTTTTACCTTTATATCTTCACATTTTTCATGACTTTCTAGTAAATTTCTATGAATACCTATTGTTTCTTGAACACTTCTGAACATTCATTAGTTTCTCTTCTAGAATATCGAAATTACATGTTCTCTCTGTTCTGTTAAACCATGTTTTAACCAGTACATTTTTGTAACTGAATAGAAAAAGGCTATTTATATTGAGATAAATTGTATTTCGTTTATATTTTCTGTAAACTGAATGTCAGACTGTTCCATCTATCCTCCGTTTTA